TTCTCAGTGTTGAAATCCCTATCAATGTTGTAGGATTGTAAATTGTCTGTTTTTTTTGTCTTCCCTTCTCGTGGCTGTCTCAAAGCCCTTGACTCCACTCGCTCCTGATTTTCCCAAACTTGTATTCCTGACTTTCTGGGGCCTTTTGATTACCTCATTATGTTTTGTTAGTGTTTCCTGTCTCGTCTGAATATATTCTATGTGACCCCTATTCACTCTTCGTGTCATATTTAGATACTGGTGGTGAGTTAGCCAGTGTTATCTCTGTGCCCTAACGAGGACATGAACAATAGTACCACACATGTACACGTGTGTTCCTTTAAAGACACAGTGCGAATTAATAATGAGACCTGGTTGAAACCTACTGCTTAAATCAACATCCTAGTAGCCATAAAAATATTTGATTTTAATTTACACAGAATGAGTTGTCATTTCTAAATGCACACATAGATATACACATAGATATATTCATTTTATTCACTTTTTGGTAACGATTATGAAACTAACAACTGTAATCATTGTATGTACTATATATATTTATATATAATAATATAATATATATATAACATATATATTATATATATTTTTTGTCTATGTACCACATAGACAAAAAATATAAAATAATAATAATAATAATACATTTCCCTCCATCTAATCTGATTCATTTTTTTCTTTCTCCCTCTTTTCTTCACCCCTTCCTCCACTTTGCCCTCCCTTTCATTAACTATTGTTTCCCAGTTTGAGGCCAACTGGTGAGAAGTGTATCCTTGTTGTCAGAGGATTGCAGGTTCAAATCCCACCTTGACCTGCTGGGGTGTGTTAATCTCCAGTTTGGTGCTCCTGCAGTTCACTGCACCCCTGGAATGTGTTGATTGGATGAATGCAGAGGACAAATGTGAGCATATGTTTTCATGTCTGTGCAGTAACAAGCAATTCTGCCTGTTTTTATATTTGGTTAAATATACCACGTGTACAGAAAGACTAGGTTAAAGGGAAGGTGTGTCTGCTGACAGATCTGTCCGTGGTGCCACACAGCAGCAGTCCATTTTCAGACTTAAGACTTTCATATGTTTTTTCAAGGTCTAGATAAATTAAATAAATGCATCTGTACTTTTCTCATCTCAAACTAAAACAAATCCCACTTTGGTTCACTTTCTTTTGATTAAGACAGGGTGGTACCAGCAACCTCTTTCCTTAAAGGGGTGACATTATGCTACTTCAGTGCAAATCAATGTGCCTCCATGGTTTTAGTTGAAACAATTGAAGGACAACTTCTGTCTACCTTTAAATTGTAATGAGCCACTGCATGGTCTACCCAGCTCTGCTGTCTCTTTAAGGTTTTAATGTTTTTTAAGCAGTGCATGCTGGGAAATATAATACTGTCAGCCGCCTGGTGTACTGTGGGATACCACACCAGACCATAGTCGTATCTGTGTGCCAGCAGCTACAGTGTGGCTCTCAAGATAATTGACTCCCCAGAGCCAGTAGGGCAACTTGCTCCATACTGTGAAGGTAACACAGATGTGTTAGAGCCGGAGTCAGATCCAGAACAAGAACTCTTGCAAAACAAAAGGCGAGAGACAAGAATGACCAAGGGTGTTTCACAGTGGTTAGTGAATATGTAGACCTGTGCTTCGCAAAGTGAGGGGCGGGCCCCACTGGTGGGTAACTGAGACATGACAGGTGGGGAGTGACAAATGAGAGGACATTTTTAAGATTCAAGTGATAATGGCACAACTGCATTATTATTTTCTCATGCCGCTCTATAATGGTGTTAGTTTAATACACTAAAAATTTAATTTGTCAAGATTATTTTGGGAGGCGATGAGGAGCAGGTGGGGCTTGAAAAACCCCCATTTGTTCAAAGTGTGGAATGACCAAAAAACCTCATGGCTCGTTTTTAGACACATTTTTACATTTTGGTGATGGGGTGATAGAAAATATCTATACATACTTTTCTAAAATGGCAGATATGCAGAAATAAGATACAAATATAAATATTAAAAAAAAATAATATAAACTTCAATGACCATAATATGTCCCCTTTAAACTATTTTACGCATCTACTATGTAGCTCATATTAGAGGTGTAAATGTCCACTTTTTTCTGACCAGTACGTCACCTGGTTTGTCATTATCCACTGATGACCTCACTTTGTGAACTCCTCCCATTCTTGCAGGAATTAAGGGTTGAATTGTTTCAGTAGATGTTTGAGATTTAAATCCTTGCAAATACAGTAACCTTTTGCTGAGACACACTGGACTCAATGAAGGTTTATACAAAAACCTCTCACTTGAAGAGCACTTGTGAAAAGGCCATCGATACAAGAAGGCATTCCATTTGAAATATGTTCCCTTAAATTAATTATATTTAGGCTAGACTATGCCACACACTGTGGTGCAAATAACTACTGAGGCCTTGGCAACTATATGATGAGAAAATCTTGTTGTGGCCATTATCATCTCCTGTGGAAGCTGTACAAGGGTGGATGACTGTCATGAGAAAAACAGCATCTCTGGTGGAAACAAATGTCAGCTTTCATCCTGTTCATTGGTCATTTTAAATATAGATATAGGTTTTCTTTGGTAATGACAAATTATATAGTTTTACATTTGTATAACTGTTCACTTGCAAAAAAAAACAAACAAAAAAAAAATGAGAAAGATGTAGTGTTTTTTTTTTTGATTTTTCTTTGTTTTCTGTTCGTTAAAAAAATATACATGACCAAACTCTCATTTAAAGAGTTTAGCATTTAAATTGTGTTTAAATGGAGATGGTGGGGTGGAGTAGTCTGCATGTTTCCTCATGTGCTTTAAGTTCAAAAATAAAGTTTTGAAAAGGGTAGAGGTGATGCAGCATGTGTACCAGCAGCCTCCGTTTCTTCTTTGTTTCGGTGTTCTTCCTCCCCTGCCACTCTAGCCCCCTTGTTTGATAATTATTTATGACTACTTAAAGCGCTGTATACCATTTATTTTTCTATTTAGGGGAGAGGGATCACAGACAGGGGCAGGGGAGCTGGGTCTTGTGAGTAAACCCACCTTGTCTGACAGTGAACAGGCAATTCTCTTGTTGTAAAACAACTGCACTACTCAATGAAACACAACCCCTGAGTGGATGACTGTGTTATAAAGACACTATTCAGTGACAGGAAGAGGTAGCTGCAGAACACCATGCGTTGTGTGTAGATTATTAATATATTTATATAAAATAGATAAACATTTTAGAGAATATTTAAAGTACAATGCAAGCTAAATTTACATTTACGAAATAAATTAAAAACGTTAACCTCACAATATTATTATTATTAGTAATAATATAAAAATATACCAATAATAATAATAATAATAATAATAATAATAATAATAATAATAATAATAATAATAATCATACTCCTGTGACATCAACCTCCAGCAGTTACACATCTGTGTTTTACTTGCAGGTGACTGTTATCACCCAGTTTCCTTTTTCTTTCCCCTGGTCCTTAACAGCTGCTACTCATTATTGACTTCTCACTGTGTGCGTTATTCGTCATCGTTTCCTTTCCTGCCAAATCGTTTCCCTTTTTTTTTTTACGTGTGTTGCGTTTCTCCCCGTGCATGTCGCGTCTCCTAATCCATTCTCTGTATATTTTCCTGATCTGACTTGCCCCTTGTGCCCTTACCCCAAATGTAGTGCCCGGTGTTTTTCACCGGGTGTATCTCCCTGTGTTGCGCGCACACACACACACAATCTCTCTCTTACACACACACAGAACAGAGAGAGAGGGAGAGGGAGGGGGGGGGGGGGGGGGGGGGGGGTAGACGAAGTTATAGTAATTGTTCGTTGAGACTATTAGGTTCGTACATGCACCTTTAAGTTAAAACTAATTTACTAACTTATTTTTGGTGTTTAATATGTGAAGTGGTCAACGCAGAACTTTAAAATGTTTATTAAACAATATTTGATCCTCACACAGTCACGTTTTATGGAATTGCATAGCGATATACCGGAAGTAACATTTGAAATTTGCCTTATGCAGATTTCACTTAAGGACCCTCATTTTTGGTCGGGTGTATTAGAACGATATATTAGTTATAACTTGATATTTGGTTTATTATTTTATGAAAACACAGTAACGTTTTGTAGGGATATTTTTGTTCAACTTCACTCTATGCACTATAGTGTCATTTGTTTGTATTTATCTTAAATATGTGTAGCAATAGCCAAGTGTGTAGCAATTGAACATCTCTGCGTCAGTTAAGGCCCCAGTCCGACCACAGTTTAACTGGGTGATTTTTGGGTTTCTATTCGATTTATTCACAAGAACTTTGGTTCAGAATAAAATCCAATTCAAATACATATATCAACACATATTGTGTTTGTATTGAAACTTATCAGTACTCCACCGATACCCAAGCGGTGTATATAATGGTCATATCATTGGATTTTTCCAGCGATATTACGTCTGTAATAATCGGTTTTAAACTCTGTCAAAATTAAGTTCCAATACATACACACACACACACACACACATATATATATATATTACATTTCAAATAATTACCATGTCACTAGGACTCTAACAACACTGCCTTCGACAACCAACCTTGTGTGAGAACTTTCTTTGCATTTTAGGTGAGTAAAATATAACAGTTGGCGTGAAAAATCAGCTTCTAAACACACGTTTAAATCGGACTAATAATCTCTGTTACTTTTCCGTTTTAGCGTTAAGACAAAGATACGAGACATTATTTTACAGACACACACATTCTACTGGGTGTAAACTATTATTGCTCTCAAAAATATACATTTGAATGTATTTAAATATGAACTTATAGGTAAAATGTAATAGCCCCCGAACCTATAGTGAGAAGAACGACACCGAGTGTTCTACCGAATTATAATGTGGACTCCTAACTCCCTGAAGCACAAGTCTGCAAGTCTGCAAATATACGGGCTTACTTTGCACTTACTTAGATAGATAGATAGATAGATAGATAGATAGATAGATAGATAGATAGATAGATAGATAGATAGATAGATAGATAGATAGAACTAACACTTTAATTTAAATATTGTGCTATAAGCAATAACACTGTAAAATGTGGTCTGTTTGTTTTTTTACTTCCTATTACAGCACTGTGAGGGTTATTAGCGAATGAACGGCCCACTTTCTCTTCCCGAACTCTCTGATTACCAAGTTTAGTTTCTCCTCCAATCAAGAGCTTGGATCTAATTAGAACTAACGCAGTCGCCCAAGGTTCGCTGTGCAGCTCCGACATCACCACACGGTGTGTCGGTTTGTTTCGTTTATTATGTAATTTTCTCTTCTCCTTCTTCATCTAATGAACAGCGGCCGTACCTAGCAGAGACTCGCGCAGGAGTAACTGATTTTATCAGAGCGTTTGCTTGGAAGCACAAAAGAGACAGCTGAGTGCCAGACTAAGATTTTGAAGCAGCAGCCAATGGGCACAAGAACTGCGCCGTGACGTAACACGGCCTTGTAGATAAGGAGCACATTACAGAGACTTCAGAAAAAAGTGCTGCGTGGCGGGTCCAGAAGAAAAATCTCACCTATCGTCAGTAAAGGTAAAAGATACTGCACTTCTTCCACTGCTGCTGTCTAGTCGGCGTTTCTGCAGCCTCATCTTGAAGTAGCAGTCGGCTACAAAGGAACGAGTTGCATCAAAAAAGCAACTTGGATTTTATACATTTTCTTAAAGCAATACGTGTGCTTTATTTTTTCCCCTATTTTTTAAATATATATGTATACATATACATATATTGGCATCTTCGTGGACTGAGGACTCGGAGGAGGATCTGGTCACTTACCTTTGCAAGCATTTTTTTCTTTCTTTCTTTTGTTCTTGAAAAACATCATCTTTTGGTTTTGCTTTGCGCTAAGAGAGTGACACTCGTTTCCAGGACTGCCATTATACATAATTATATGTAACTTTGCAGAGGGCCATAAAAATATAATGGTCAAAGCAAAAATAATGACATCGGCACAGAGAGTTTCTTTTGGCAGTTAAGTGCAAAGCACGTTTTTTTTTACCTCAAATTTAGTCCTTTTTTTAAGTAAAAAGAAATTTTGCGCGCGGTGTCTCTTTTTTTTAATTATATCAATTTATTTATTTTTGCGGGTCTCATGGACATCTTGGGTTGTAGAGCCGAAGAGAACAGTTACCACATTCTGCCCTCTGCTGCCACAATGCTCTTCCACGGCCTCCAAGACGGAGACATGCACGGCGTGGTGGAAGAAATGGACCGCACGGAAAAGGGCGAGCCTGGGGCGGTTAGCTCGGTCACCGATATGGGAGACTCAGAGACGGTAGGAGAGCTTTCACTTTTCCTCCCTCGTTTGTCAGTGCCATGATCATGAACAGCATGGAGAAGCAACGTTAATTAAGAAATGACGACAATTTATTACTGTTATTACTGAGCTTAACTTGACACAAACAATAATTAAACTCTCCCTGGCTCGCTGCCTCATGTGAGTGTATGTGTGTGTTTATGTATGTATAGATATAATTAAATAATTATACATACATACACACATATCTAATCATATCAAACATTTTGTCACATAAACTCCTAGCTATAAAGCATTTATGTGTCATGTGCATATTAAATTAATTTCATAATTCATTTTTAGTTTAATTTCACTTTAACTTTGTCTCAGGCTTTTCTTCCTATAACAACAACAATAATAATGAGATTAAAGGGACTGATATGATCAGAAATAACTGCAAGAGTTGTGAACTTTTTTGCTGTTATTTAGATTTAAGTTTCGTTAGAGTTTCGTGTTAATGTAAATGTGAAATTATATTTCATCTATTATGATGTATGTATTTTATGCATTTAATATTTCAAATAACACAAAATTAAACACATGCATCTTCATTCATAATACATGGTATACTTGAACTATTATTATTACTTTTATTTTTTTTAATTCTTGTAATACATGACCGTGACATACTTGGTAACGCCCGGGCGTTTGCATGCGGGCGTTACCCTGGCATTGTGCCATGCAGGAGCATTTATTCCTTTATTTAATTTATTCCTACTTGTCTACTTCTCTCTCTCTCTCTCCCTCTCTCTCTCTCTCTCTCTCTCTCTCTTTCTTTCTTTCTTTCTTTCTTTCTATCTATCTTTATTTTTCTCGACCCTCGTCCCTTCTCGACCCGTGACCTCCCACAGTCCCTACCGTACCTAACCCGAGGCGGCGAACGCCATGCCCTGTGCGCCGGCTGTTGTCGCAAGATCGCTGACCGTTATTACCTGCTGGCTGTGGACAAGCAGTGGCACATGCGCTGCTTGAAGTGCTGCGAGTGTAAACTCAACCTGGAGTCTGAGCTCACGTGCTTCAGCAAGGACGGAAGCATCTACTGCAAGGAAGACTACTACAGGTGAACGGCACACGTAAATGACAACATACGTCAGTGATAACACCGTAGATTGGGAGTCGATGCCAAACTGATTTAGAGCAAATTGGTAGATATACTCAGTCAATGAGTTGTATCATTACAGCCTTGCAGGGGGGCAATTTAACCAAATAACATTAAGGACAACAAAACAGTTTAAAAATTAAATAAATAAATAACCGTAGATAACTACTTCAAATTTGTAGTCACCTCGGACAAGTACAAATTGAGAACTAGATTAACTACTACTTTGAATGGGTAAACCTTCACTTTGAATTGATTGTCAGGTTCATCAGTTTAGTTTTGTACGTGTTTGACTGAACAGAACTTCAGTGAGATGCAGAATGAAAACAGTCCGTTTGGTTCGTAACCCCCTGCTGCAGAGTGGAGAAAAGTCGTTGGCCCTAATGTGTTTCATAAGGAGGTCCCGTGCTCAACTTATGTGTGCTTATGATTGTTTTTTGTTTGTTTGTTTTTGTTTTTTTGTATATCTTAACAGAAGATTTTCTGTGCAGCGGTGTGCCCGGTGCCATCTAGGAATATCGGCCTCTGAAATGGTAATGCGAGCTCGGGACCTGGTTTACCATCTCAACTGTTTTACGTGCATCTCGTGTAGCAAGACACTGACCACCGGCGACCACTTCGGTATGAAAGACAGTCTGGTGTACTGTCAGCTGCACTTTGAGACTCTTAAGGGTGAATATCAGACCCGCTTTGACCAAGCGGAGGTGGTGGTGCAGCCGCCGCACACACTCAAAGGCTTGGGCCCGACCACTGCGCTTGGACTATCCTACTTTAATGGAGTCGCCACAGTGCAGAAAGGTCGGCCCAGAAAGAGAAAGAGCCCCGGGACAGGAGCCGAGCTCGCAGCTTACAATGCAGGTAAATGCAGGTAACTGTGTGCACGCGCATGCGCGCGTTCATCACAGAAAGCTTTCCTTTTTTTCTTATTTTGTTTAACCCGCAGGTGCCTTATAAATAGTCAAAAACCTGTTTGTTTGTTACAAAAACAATCAATACCAATATGCATGGGGAACACAATCTTATGGGAAGTTAATTTTCCAAAAAGACACACATTTTTAAATAGATAGAAAAGTGAATGGTTAGAAAGTGCTAAATGACGTAGGGTAACGTAAAAGTTTGCAAAGTAGGTAATATTTTATTTAGATTCTTAAAAAAAAACCCATCCATATAAACTAAAGTTGAAAAACAACGATGAGGTAAAAAATGCTCATACATAACTCGATGTTGACAATAACATCTTTTAGACATTTACTCAATTTGATTCACACAAAGTTGTTGCTCATCGTTATGTTTTTTAGTCATTACTTTATCTAATTTAGTTATGAGTGCCGTTAACTTAAGCATACATATCACACAAATAAAGGACATCTCGTTCATTTAATATGATATTCTGGCTTTTGATTTCACCCATTTCCATCTGTCAGATTTAATTGACATCTATAGCTTATTTCTATCAGCACCACGCCCCCACATTGACACTGGGCCAGCCTGCACTAGAGGGATCAGTCGGATCTGACGAGTAAATTCACTGGGAGCGAGCAGCAGCTAAAAGAACTAATGATTTTTACTCTAAATTGATCAGATTATTCTTTCCAAAAAAAAAAAAAAATCAAAATCAAAAACAATCAAAAAGTCGGGATGTTTTTGAAATTCAAATCTTTTGTTCACCAGAGAACCTGACATATGCACTTAAGATGAGATATAGATTTTTTTATTTAAATGTATTGTCTTTGTTAATTTCTGTTAATACCGTATAATTTATCACAAATGTTGTTTTACTATTTTCCAAACTTGCGGGATACACTGTGAGAGTGTTCAGTGCATCTGCATAGTTTCTTGGTCCTACTGAAAGTGCAAACTAAGTAGTCTAAAGTAGTGCGCTCTGTTGCAATACATGAAAAAACAGCCACGAAATATTTACTTACATTTAATGCTAATCGGGTTCTCTAACTTTAACCAGGATTGAGCGCCTTTTAAGAGAATAACAATCTTTTTGCCATAGATTTTCCTTTAATTTATGACGATAAACAAATTAGAAACAATTAAATTATCTTACCATTTTATGGGTGATCATTTTATTTAGAATAAAAATACATTTATTACATTTTGTTCATCCAAAATACACGTTTAAGAAAATACATGATCATAGTTAAAGCTGTAAGCAGAGAGAAGCATCTGACTCGTTGAGCATTCACACAAATAAAGTTAAATTTCACCTAATGCATATTTACCATGTCTATCGTATGTTTATGAAATACATTTCACTTCTTAATAATAATGTTTGTTTAAAGCTGGAGGTTTTCAAATCGTTATTTTTAGAGGTAATCGTCAACATTTGTTTTTAATACCTCCCACTATCACACTCATGTTACCCAGACCTTAGAAATCACTGCCTCTTCACGTCCAAAGGGATTAAAACCTTTAATTAGGGGTCGCTGAGTTTTTGTCATCCATTGTGTGAGGTTCTCCGAAAATGAATGTTTAATTCAAAATGGTGGACTTCCCGCTGAGTTGAGGTCATGTGCCCTGACTATGTTAAAGTACAAGGGGGATGGCGCTAATGACATAACCACCGCAGTCTTCCTAAAACATCATTATTATTTAATAATAACACTACTACTACTACTACTACTACTACTAATAATAATAATAAAAACAGTAATTTATATAATGATTACCTATAGAATAATAATAATAATAATAATAACAACAACACTAATAATAAGAATAAGAATAATAATTAGAAGAAGAAGAAGAAGGAGAAGAAGAAGAAAAAGAAGAAAAAGAAGAAGAAGTCTCTTAGTTTCCTAGAGTGGTCCTCGATGAATGGGCCCCTACTAATCATCGGAGCGCAATGAAGAAGAAGTGCGCCCTCCTCTGACACCACTCAGTTATAACACCAAAGCTGGAGCCCTGCGCTGCTAAAACACAGTGACTCTGTGCGTGACGATGTGTTTGAGGACAGTGACTGGGTAAGAGAGCATACGTTGCTGCGGCAGCATATTCTTTGCCCAGGGAGAAGCATTTGTTCAGCCTTGTTTGTGTCCGATAATTACTACAAATGTACTGTTGTGCATGAGCAACACCTTAATAGTTGCCAAGAAATGTGCACAGTGCTGGGACAAATAGCTACGTGTGCCTCGTTGTTGTTGCACTGTTGTTAAAACAGGCCTGTAGCCATGATAACATTCCTTCCAGAACAGAAAGAAGTGTAGGCGGCCGATGGAATCGGAAACAGACACGGAAAAGGGGAGGGGGGAGAGGGAGGGGGGGCATTAGAACAGTCTACTCAGGGCTGTTTCATTGAGGAAATAATTAAAGATATTTATTTGAATTTCAAGATCCTCGCAACGCTAAAAGGCATAGCGTAAAGCACCAATCGAAACATCGACATACGTGACGCTTGCGATTGTGTTTTTAACATGTAAGTTGTCTTCCTTAATTTTAATTTATTTCCACATTTATGGAATATAACAAAATAACGGACAAGCCCAATTAATCGCAGGTATCTTGTTCAATACAGAATACACCAAAAGATACAAAGAAAACCAAAGAAAAAAGACAGTAAGATAGAAAATAAAGTTGTTTTCATTATATTGAATACTCGTTTGTGAATGAGTTTATCTACTTTATCCTAGTTTATCTTCCACGCACACGTACAGTAACAGTAGTGGCAAAAAAAAAAAATTATTTCAATTTCGCGAACGACAGTTACGTCAGTTAATGAAGTATATTAATGAAGTATTATGCTGACGAGCGCCCTCTCTCGCTCCTCCAGCTCTGAGCTGTAACGAGAACGACGGTGAGGCCATGGACCGGGACTCGCAGTACAGCTCCAGCCAAAAGACCAAGCGCATGCGAACCTCCTTCAAACACCACCAGCTGAGGACCATGAAATCCTACTTTGCCATTAATCATAACCCGGATGCCAAGGACCTCAAGCAGCTCGCCCAGAAGACCGGCCTTACTAAGAGGGTCTTACAGGTATGCCCACAGCCGTACAAACACATTCATCTCAACTGTACTCTATGTCAGTTTTCGCTTCCTTTTTAAAACGATATCGTCATTTTCAAGATGGCACAGCGACATGGCGCTCTATTTGAACATATTCCCATATTCGTTTATTATTTAAAACGAATTTAAAACTCGTAATGAATACCTAAACAACTATCTTAAAACTTATTGAATGACAAGATAGCTTTTTGAGAAAAATCAGCACAAACCAACACAAATTTGTGGTAATAACGCCATAATTAAAATATTATTTCAGTTATAAAACATTATTTGATTTCTCTCTATTCCATCTCAAAAATGGGAAAAAATTGATTTGTAAATTGATGGAAATGTTTCATGAATGACCTTTTTATTGGAATTTAAAAGAGGTATTGTTTTACTTGGAACAGGCGAGTTGAAAATAAAAAAAACATAAATCTCACGGCTAAAAATAACCTACATAGCATTATATTTGGTTTCTACAACTATGAAAAAAATATGTCATTGGAATATTAGACAAAACAGCATGCTGATATATTTTTGTTTGTATGTGATAAGATTTTTTTTTTTTTACAAAGCCAGTTATTTCGCCTGAGTTATGGTATTTCCAGCTCCTCCTCGAGACACGACAGAGATTGAGGATAGATCCCTCATATGGTTCTCTGGGCACCTGGTCAGCTTTGGCTCGTCTGTTGTCTCAACCACCTGCCTGACCTTTTTTTTTAAATAATCCTAACTGTTTAGAAAAGGCTAAACACCAAAAAGATACTTAGGTTATATTACTGACTGATTGAAGTTTAATTTAAACATCTCACAACATCAGAGTTTCTGATATCTTCACACACATTTAGTGCCATTTGTTCACTAAGGCAACTCCGCTTTTTGACTTAAACACTCCTCTCCTCCTTCTCTGTCTTCTACATTAGCTACATCTCTATCACTGTGGAGTTGTAAAGTCTCTAAAACAACCAAACAACATGCTGTGTGCATCATCTCTCAGAGTTGTTCTTAGCATACTGTAGTTCCTCTTCAGATGAAGAGTTTTTCTAACCTAGTCAATCACTTTAGAGGACTCCATGAACATCGTGAAGATTCCTGACAAATCTTAATTGTGCACAGAGAAAAGAAAGAGGGTGAAAGAGTGGAACAACATAACTCCACCCATAGATGATGTGGAAAAGATAGACATTAACTGCAACAATATAAATTTGAAGCCAAACTAGACCTGCAGATTAAAGTGTACTCAACCAAAAGTGACCTCAATACCCCCTGCATGCCTCAAATTCCAATCCTTGGGCTGTGACCTGGAACTAATAGTAGAAAGTAGTTTCAAAGATGAAGTAGAACACAGTTAAAAGTGAATAACTGTTTACATTTAATTAACATGTAAAACAATGAAAGCATATATTTGTGATGTAAAAACTAAAAAAAAAACATAAGTAAATGAAATGAACTACATGACCAGTCATTGAACTGGAGTAGGCCTGAGTCAGTCTAATCTGATAGTTTTATAAGCACAGTGATCTAAATAGTATTAGTAGCTTGTTGAGTTAAATAGTTAACACTATTTAACTAAATGGGTAAATAGTGAGTCAGCCACTTGTCCTGGATCAGTAAAGGATTTGAAAATACATTGAATTAAGGCTAGGTTGTTGCAATTGTGTCAGATTACCATTAACTTCCTGTGAGAAACATGAAGAAAAACAATGAAAATATTTGTCAACTGTAATATTATTTAAAATAATACTAGGGTTGTAGCAGAGAAATTCAAATATATCAAAAGTTAAAAAGGTTTTACAGAAACAACAAGACCAAAATTAAGTAAATATTAATGATTGCAAATAATTCAAAACCAAAGGAAGAGAAATGTGCCAAGAAATATAGAAAATAATGGAGAATAATTAAAAAAATCTGCAAATATTTTTTTTAAATGTGTATCTTTTATTTAAATTGTAAATGTTGCTATTAGAAGAAGTTGAGGGGATCAAAGGGCTTAAAAGTCTGACAATGAATTAATGCATGTAAATAATTGGAAGACCTAGAGAAACTGAAAGACATGAAGAGTTTTAGGAACCTGAGAGGCTAATATTCTTGACATGCTAGACAAGTGTTTGAAATAAAGATGACTTGAAGGACTTTAGTAAAACTTTTATAGAAAAATCCAGAATTAAAATAGGCAAAAACTTTCAGAGTGATTGTTATCTTTCAATTTATCAGCAGTTTTGTTGGTCTGGGGAAAGTTTTACAATTAAAAGCAATTCTTTTGAATGGTGGGAAATCAAGATTGACTGCAAGTTGGTTAAAGAACATTCAAACACAAATGACATGCTACTTCAGATTCACAGGGGGATGCTTTTATTCAGCACTATTATAACAAACACCTGCTTCAGTGATGCTGCTAAAACTGCTGCTACCCAAAACATTTGTTTTTTTCTTTTGCATCTCAATTATGGCACAGAGAGATGGTAGGAACTTAAATACTAGCAGTTTGTCTATTAAATTATGAAACCACGTTAGTTCCTATACTCACTGACACCAGCACATTAATGAAGTCTCATTTGAGCCACCAACATGTTTCACTAAGTTGCAGAAACATTAGCTTGGTGTCACCAATCCAGAGCAGAGAGTCGCCCTGTATATCACAGTGGTTATGAGATTTTTGTGCATGGGTTTCATCAGAGGATTTCTAAGGAAAACTAAGGAAAATTATCAGGTGTTTTTCACTAGTCAACAGTACTATGTGTTAGTGATAACAACTGTAATACAGGAAGATTTTAAGAGGAGGTGACACTTAGTCAAAGTAGAGGAGGATGTGTCAGTTGTGTTTGGTCTGTTTAAGAATGTTTCTTGTCCCACAAGAGATATGACAATTCCCTTGCAGGACAATTTTTCTGGTCTGCTCTGTCTTGTCAAGGGTATTTGTCTAGTGTATTAGTTGTGCGTGTGTGGGATGCTGGAAATGATGATCCGTTTGGCTGAAGCAACCGTTGCCCCGAGGGCTGCGAGTGTGCAATTGGTCATCTAGGTGGTAATTCTCTCACACACAGTGTAGGTGTAAAAGTTCCGTACAAAACAAAGTGGGGTGTCCCCTAAGCACCTGGCTAAGAGCTGGCTGGTCTTCACAATGAAGGAGCTTATATAAACTGATCAGGTGAGATCCTGTGTGATTAATTTAAAACTGTCCACTCTTTTTACCTTGGTCCCACTGATCCAAAGTGCTGAAGTCATTGTTCATTTTTAGTTTTTCATCTTTCATCATTTTTACCAGCCAAGATGGCACATGGTAATAACTCCTGAGCTAAAATCCACAAACAGCACTCTCCCATACTTCCCATTTCCATAGGCCATGTGGGCAACATTTATCAAATAACAGTTGCAGCCTAGTAGAATCAACTACATAAAAAACATGTTCTGTGAAAGCAGTGTGAAATACTTACTATAAACTATATATATTACTAAACTATATATAATACCTTATTTGTTTTTAAATGTTAAAAGCAGCAGACAACATTTGTATTGGAGCAGTAGATGTTTTATTTAAATCTTTATCCCATATTAAGTACTAACATTCTGCTACTGTAAGAAATATTGAAAATGAGTGTATCGAATATTAAAAGTGTTGTTGGGATTTTACGAGTTTATTTTACTGAAAGGTCAACCCAAAAGTGTTGCTGCTATTTTTGATTCACATTTTAATGGTTACTTGTTAAGTGAAGGAAATGACGTGTTAACACTGTCACTAACATCCATCCATCCATCCATCCAACCATCCATTTACATCCACTTATCTGTTACCGGGTCGCGAGGGCAGCAGTCTCCATCCAAATCACATTGCACTGTACCAACCCCCCTAAACCTTCCTTCGGGTGGTGAGTCCACTGTAAGGTACCAACCGCCCTAACCGGGATTTGAACTTGTCCAGGAGGTGAACCCTGGACTTCCACACCAACTATTAGTCACCAAAACTAGAAAATATTGCTTTAAATCAAAGAAAATTATTTAATAATAAAATAAGTATGAAGTTAATTAATAAAAAACGTATTTTACACATAGATGTGAAATGGGCAGCCTCTGTGACCCAACAATAAGAAAAGCTGACCCTGCAGAGAACCAACAACAACAACAACAACAACAACAACAACAACAAAACACCTTGCAAAAGTTGTGTCAAAACAACCAACAGCTAGACTAAATGCCAGACTCATTATTCAGTGCTGATGAAAACTGGAAAGAAAAGGTCACATCTCACATATCTCATTTATTGTATACAATCCTCCAAAAAAAAAAAAAAAAAAAAAATCAGACTGGCGACCTCCAGTGGAGAGCTTTACATAGTGTCTTCATTTGTTTGTATTTTGCGTTTTTATTCACACAGCTTTCAACAAATGTACTTTGCATGTCAACATGGAACCTTTTGTGATTTCTCCTTGTGTTTGTGTTTGTTTTTCTAACACGTCACTTAATGACAATGTTTCACAAAATTCATTTTTTTACAGTTTGTTTTGAAGTCCCTTTGATGTGAGTTGTTATTATCAAAGCAGGAGGGACATAATAAAAAAAAATAACACCTTCCAAAGACTTCAGTACAGAGTCAGTACAAAAGAATGGGTTACGAACGGCAGCAGAAATAATGATTTTAGGAGTTTTCAGGCTTAAGTTGTCACCTACAGTTTTTAGAAACAGTTTTTTTTTTTATTAGATTCTTTGTTCAGTTAGTGTTCACAACCCAACTCATCTATTTTGAAGGGAATAAGATGTTTTTTATTGCCCTCATCTGCAAAACTCTATTATATTAATGCCGCCCATATCTACATTATAATGATATGGTGTTTGTGTAAAAACCCATTAACTTTTTAATCTTTTCACTTTCTTAACACTGACAACGTTTCCCTTGTATACTTGGGAAGTTGTCTACAATAATTCTTGTCATCTTATCATGACTAAGGATGTCCGATTATATCTGCTGACCAATATTATCATAATTTTGTAATATCGCGGGGTCCTTAGAAGTCTACTACAGTTTTGGGGAAAAATGTCTGCATATATTTATTTTTACACTAGTGTTCAGTGGATTAAATGTTGTCATTCTGATGTAACACATACTACATACTCCATCGAAAAGAGCATTTAGAACAAGAAGGTCACTATGTGTATGTGTATGTACATGTATGAAAAGTTGGCTAAATCAGTCTTCATTTTAAATATTGATTAACTTCATAGGTTAGGAGACTAATGTGCGTCTGTTAATCTCAAAATCAAGATTTCTCTGACCTGTGAAGGTTGAGATGTTCTGAAACTAAAACGTGTCTGCATTTAGGAAGCTGGAAAATAATTAAAAAAATAGCTGCCCCACAGTATTTAAGTCATTATAGGCAGTTACGAGTCTTTATTTACTATTTATTTGCATTTATATATATATATATATATTTTACATTTGTATTCATTACATATGCAGTAGCATAGTTGCTCAAATATATTGTCTAAAAAATATTCCAATATTATTAATATATCTGACTCAACATTTCACTCTCACAGGTCTGGTTTCAAAATGCTCGGGCTAAGTTTAGGAGGAACATCCTGCGGCAGGAAAGCTCTTGCGTGGATAAAATGTCTGATGGCTCCATGTTACAGGGTGGGACGCCTTCAGGTCCCGCCTCGGAGATTTCCAACGCCTCTATGAGCCCTTCAAGCACACCTACCACTTTGACAGACTTGACCAACCCCACCATGCCCACTGTCACGTCTGTCCTTACCTCTGTGCCTAGTGGCATAGACGCTAACGAGTGCCAAAGCCCAACCCAGACAACCTTGACAAGCCTCTTCTGATTGGCTGAGCCTTTCATGCCTCTTTGAACACTTCCTGGTTCTAAAACTGTGCATAGCTCACTCTACTGTCTTACATAATACAGCTCTGAAACAAAGAAATTTGTATTATTTGACCTATATACTGACATTTTTTTCACATGGACGCAGGCAAAGCGTTAGTATGAAGTTCAGGCAAAGGCTTACTGTACTTATGAACACAAGCAAAGACTTATCTATGGAGGAAAATGAAGCCTTATGTATAAAGGAAAGCAGAGGATGACACATCTTCTGGAGTTGTTCCTACATGGTTTGCTGTGGTTTTGTCAAGGACCAGGGTTTGATCTGCATTTTTTAATGTTTCAGAAAGCAACTGCGACAGTTGGGAAGGGACACTGCTGAAGTTTTAATGGGATTTTTTTTTCAGCACAGTATTTATGTTGTACAAAAGTCACTATACGAATGACTGTAAAAATTTCAATTTTTGAAATATTGAAAATAAATAAACACTATGGCTTCCTTGTGTGTCATGTTTCCGTTCTCAAGGTGCAGTGAGATTTTCAGACTGGAATACATACTACTGTGGCGATGTTCTAGACAGGTGAGGAAATGTTGTTAAGAGGGAAATACTTGAATATGAATTTCAAATTTTTTTTTTTAATTTGGTCGATTCAAAAGATCATGGGGAGCAAAAGAAATAATCAAATCAGAACTCGTAGCCTTCACACCTACATGATTAATTATATGTCTACTTTCACAAAAATGAGATCCCATTATTTGATATATGTTTCAAAAAAGGTGCTAATGCTCAGCAATTTCAAATATCGATTGAAATGACAAATGATTAAAAGTGAAATTATGTTAGGATTTTCAAGAAGTTTTGTGCTTTTTTGGCTAGTGATGCAATGATTTTTCTCCAGTACATTCCCAAGAACTGGGTGCTATGTTTGATAAGACTGAAGATTTAAGATGTTTATTTTCATATAACAAGGCAAAAAGACAGTGGTTCAAAATCGCACTGATAATCTTTCTTTCAGAGAGGTCTGAGGTGAGTGTTTGTTCTGAATTCTGGTTTTTCCTGACCAGTGGCCTGTAAGCTGACTTCAGCAAAATCTCCCTAGATCCAGAATGTTATTTCAATGGTACAGTATGTTATATTTTTGGAAATCAAACCTGAGGTTTTAATTAAATTATCTAGTAAGAATAACAAGTCCTTCTATAAAGGATGCCTACTGTTTAGTGACAGTTGTACATGTCATTCAGTGCCCTCTCCAGAATGAAAAAACACACCAGGTTTATTTTACTTAGAAAACTAACATTTTTCAGCAAGAAACAAATCAACAAATCAAAATCAGTACAATTAGAGCTATCGAAAATTGTAGAACTATACTAGACGAATCATAAATACTGTATACTTGCAGAACATTATGTGAAAATTGATTGATTGATGGATTTATCAATCTCTATCATCTAGTTTGCATAGTAATTCTTGACGGACACATGCACAGAACATAACAGTTCTTTAATATGCTTTGGAGAAGAGAAGAAATTTAATGTAGATGTTTATTAATTAAAAACAAAATATAAACACTTTCCTTGGTATTTTATGCTAACAGCTTTTCTTCATACTTGCTACTACTATTGTCACCTGCCTGTGGATGTGAAATATCAGTTTCATGCTGTTTAATCTTCTTGTTTCTCTTATGTTTTTTTCAATTGTTAAATATTTTTCAGTTATAATGCCCTTGTTTTTATTTCATTTTGTGCTGCTTCTCTTCATTTCAATAAAGGACAGGGCAGCATGGACATTATTGACACTAGTAATCTGCTGATAAGCTTTAATCCTGCATTGTTGCCAAAGGCCGTGCGTCAAGTTGGAGTTGGAGACTGAGGGGCTGAGGGTAAGTAAAAGCAAAGAAGAGTATTTATACACTTCAATGAATACACATTTATCATATTTTGAGGGTTTGTTAATATAAAGACTATGAGCTGTAGCTCACACTAATGTATAATAGAATGAAAATAAGCTATTAAGGTCATTATATGGTCATTAAGGCCATATGAATTATCAATTTGCCTCCCACCTTTATGGCCTCTCTGTCTCAGGACTAGGAGATAATTAGCTAACAGAGTCAGAGTCTCTCTTTCTGTCCATGTTCACTCATAAACCTCACCGTTAGAGTGATTAATCAGGCTTAGAACCTCCACCATAGCTCTGTCATGTTAATACAACAGCCTGTCTTCAATGGCACACCAGTGGATCGTCATGGTAATTTAATGATAACGTATTATTGGTCTCTTCTGCTGACAAATGTCTTTACAATGTCATATGTTCAAAAACTTTCGACAGGCATCATTTTCAGTGTTTAAGCTTTTGTATCAGGCAGTGGTGGCTTAGTGGTTAAGGAAGTGGACTTGGAATCAGAAGGCTTCAGGTTGGAGTCCACCAGCTGCCAAGTTACCACTCAGGTGCTCTGAGCATGACACCGTCCCCACTCACTGCTCCCCTTAAAGCTGACCACTGTTCACTTTGGTGATGGGTTAAAAGCAGTGGTCACATTTGGTTGTGAGTGCAGTGGTGAGTTGTGTCACAGTGACAAGGAGTTTTAGTTTAAATATTTAAATATTAGGCATGCATGTTATCTCACTCACCAATGTCTCACTGGTGTCATCTGGTGTCCTGGGTATATATACCTCTCTGCTTCATTCAGTCTTTGGGGGAGTGTTGCTCAGTGGACATGCACTGTGTGTGTGTGTGTGTGTGTGTGTGTGTGTGTGCGCTTGTGTGTCATATCGTGCCTTGTTTCTGTAACCCAGTGAGTTCTTGTGATTTTTGCTTCTTGTAAATAAACCTGCTGCACCTAGAGAGAGTTTCCCTCGTGCTCATTTGGGTCCTGCCTGCTCACGCTCATGCCTGGACACAACAGCAAAGCCAAAAACATGCTCATTAGGGCAGTGGGTTAGTTTACCATATGTATATACACTGCCCGCACCTGATATCTGGGATTGGCTTCAGAGTATTTATAAAACGAAACTATAACTCAAGACTTTATACTCCTATACTGTTATCAACCTAAAGGAAAAGGTGGTCCATGCTGTTCCAGTTTGTGGAGGATCACCTCATTGTTCGTGCTTATCTGAAATCTTACAAGGCTCTAAAAACATGTCAAAAGGAAGCAGCAGTTACAAATGCATTGCTCCACTCCACGGCAGTGATAACTGCTACTCCACCAGTACATGAAGAGGGAGAAACCTTTTAGCATAACCCATAATTCATCATGAAGAAGGGGAAAAAAATAAACTACCCTGAAGCTGAACTAGAGATCAGTGAAGTGGAGACGTATTATTTAGTACCCTGTCAGCTGGGGTAAATATGAAAAGACAAAAGAGATTAGCAGTATGTGTGTGAGGCCATGAACATTGTTGAGTTGGGGCAGCACACACACCGAGGAAAAGAAAAGAAAAGTTCTGACATCAAGTTGGACGTTCAGCGTAGGGTGTATAACCACCGTTGATGTGTGTCAACATCAGGCTGGGGGACGGGAGTGGAGGACACAACTCTTACCAGATTGTTGGGACCCCATAGAGGAGAAATGGGTCATTCCTAAAGGTAAATATAAAGTACTCATAAATGTTGTTATTAAACTGGTCATACAATAGGCTGCTCACAGTATACAAAGATTGTGCAAAAAATGCCAGAATGTTAAACACTGCAACTCATGTGTAATTAAGTTATGGTTTATTTCACAAAAAGTGTTGCTCTGATTGGTTCATCAGGACACAGTATACACTAGACACAGTGATGGCTTGTCCTCAACTCCCCCTCTTCCCCAAAGAGCTTGGAGCGCTATGCCAGGATTTCCAGCTAGAAGAGCGCACCCTGCAGGTCACGGCTGTACACAGGGCAACTCAAAGTCAAAGTTCAAGTAGGATTTGTTAAAGGCAAAGAGCTGGACGCATGACTGCCTCTAAGCTCAACAGGTTCTTAATACCAAAACCCCGGCAACCATTCAAGAGCTCGAACAAGGCCTTTTTGCCATGGCCGCCACAAGGTATTTAGGTTTGAATGAGGGTAATGTAGAGGTAAGAGACAAAAACTTAAAAACTGGAACAAAAATAATCAATTAAGTAACTGCATACAGTGTCCTTGGGGCTGCGATAAATTGAATAATATATTTAGACTAATGTCCAATTGTATGTGTTATTGTATATTCTCTTCATTTACCACAATGTTTTAACAGACTTCTCGTCAGAGCCAGATGAGAAACAGAAGGTGACACTACTGTATACGAGACAAGCCCCAAATCAGACTGCACTAATAATAATAATATTATATATTATATATTATAATATATTATTAATAATTATAATAATCATCATAATTAATTGAGAAGGCCTTTATTTTTCTAACAATGGGGAAATTGCTGTCAACAGCATTGGAAGTAACAAAGTACAGGACATAAAGAATAAAGTATAGCTTAATGCTATAGATGATGATGATGATGATGATGATGATGATGATGATGATGATGATGATGATGATGATGATGATGATGATGATGATGATGATGATGATGATGATGATGATGATGATGATGATGATGATGATGATGATGATGATGATGATGATGATGATGATGATGATGATGATGATGATGATGATGATGATGATGATGATGATGATGATGATGATGATGATGATGATGATGATGATGATGATGATGATGATGATGATGAGTTGAGAAAAGCTGGGTAGAAGAAGTAGGAGTTAGTTGTTGCTGTTCTTCAATAAATGGAGGCCCTGTTCTTGAAGACACCGAAGGCACTTGTCCTGGACATTTGCTTCTTACGAGCCCCACACACACCTCTGAAGCTACAATAATAATGATGAGGTCCCCTGACGCAGAGAGGCTTTTGAAAATAATGGAAAATAAGGAGGATTCTTTAGAGAATTAAAGAATGAAAATTAGGCATGGCTTTATATATAAATAAAATGTTATTTACCGGACAACAAAATGATTTTAAGATTCATTGTACATAGACTTTAACTACTGGGGATTGTGTCACTGCTTCAATGACCATAATAGTCATTTTGACTGCACTATAATTGACCTTCCTATCCCCAGAGGAAGAATCAAGCTCAGAAATGTATGCTATATATTTTTTAAATTAACAGCTCACTGCACTGAGCAGTACTGTACTGTCTGCTCTAACTTACTCGCATTGTACACATGTAACTAATGGCATTGGGCCTTCTCTGACCTGAAGTCTGCACAAAAATAGGACATTACAGTTTAAATTCAACTTCACATTCATCAACCATTGGTTCACACACCTAAAGGATTCTTTGTTTTCTTGTTTATTTAACAAAATGTTTATTAATAAATATGTCTATCTCTAAATTATTATAATGTTCAGATTTTACAGCACCCAAAATCAAGACGTGAAAAACACGTTTCCTGAATTTAATACCCATTTAGAGTCTTAATTATCATAATGCCCATCATGA